CTGGGGAAGCACTGGCCAATGCTGGGCTGCTGGAGACACCACCAGGAGGGAGCAAGCTCTGCTGAGCCTTCCCCTGCAGCCACAGGGCCCCTCTGGAATCAGTTTGGGTATTAGCAGAGAAATCCCACCCTGGGCATCAAGTGACACCCCCCCCCAGGTCTGTGTTCTCTCCCCTTACCCAGAGCAGACTCAGTTTTCCCTCCTGCAGAGCTCGAGGAGAACCAACAGTTTTTCTGTCCAGGGAACCCAAGCCACCAAGTTTTGAAAGACAAAATCTGACCTAAAATGTCCAAATGGATGCTTTAAGCCCCAAAAGTGGGATTTGGATGCTCTGCTGTGGCAAGCATCAACTGGTGCCAGGGACACCCCATACCAGCTGCAGACAGCTTGTCCTCGGTCAGCCGGGATGCCTTTGGACCATGGGAGATCTTCAAATGGCCTAAAAGCAACCAGATCCAACCCATCTGGAGAGAAGGAAGGCAAAGCCATGGGACATGGGACTTAGGAAATGCCCATCGAGCATGCCTGGATATCTAACGCTTACTCTGATTTTCCAACCTTGGCAAGCACAGGCATCCTCCCCAGCACAGCCTTAACACCAACCAAATCCACCCAGGGACAAGCCTCAGCCCCTTCCCCATGACAGGACCCCTCCAAGCACTGACACAACCTGGGAAATCAGAAGGAAATGGAGTCTGTACAAGACACAAAACAAGTCAGAGCCCACCACAGCCAGAGCCACCCACAGAAGCGAGATCCCCATCCCTGCCCCTCCAGGACTCCATCCCTGTCCTTCCAGGACTCCATCCCTGTCCCTCCAGGACTCCATCCCTGTCCCTCCAGGGCTCCATCCCTGTCCCTCCAGGACTCCATCTCTTCCCCTCCAGGACTCCATCCCTGTCCTTCCAGGACTCCATCCCTGTCCTTCCAGGACTCCATCCCTGTCCCTCCAGGACTCCATCCCTGTCCCTCCAGGACTCCATCCCTTCCCCTCCAGGACTCCATCCATGCCCCTCCAGGACTCCATCCCTGTCCCTCCAGGACTCCATCCCTTCCCCTCCAGGACTCCATCCCTTCCCCTCCAGGACTCCATCCCTGCCCCTCCAGGACTCCATCCCTGTCCCTCCAGGACTCCATCCCTTCCCCTCCAGGACTCCATCCCTGTCCCTCCAGGACTCCATCCCTGTCCCTCCAGGACTCCATCCCTTCCCCTCCAGGACTCCATCCCTGCCCCTCCAGGACTCCATCCCTGTCCCTCCAGGACTCCATCCCTGTCCCTCCAGGACTCCATCCCTGCCCCTCCAGGACTCCATCCCTTCCCCTCCAGGACTCCATCCCTGCCCCTCCAGGACTCCATCCCTGTCCCTCCAGGACTCCATCCCTGTCCCTCCAGGACTCCATCCCTGTCCCTCCAGGACTCCATCCCTGCCCCTCCAGGACTCCATCCCTTGATCCCTGCTGGAGTTTTGTGCTTTTCAGCCAGAATAGAAAAGCTCCTTCACTCCGTCCACGGTCCCCCAGTGCCCCTCACATGCTCCCAGTAACCTTGATCTGCAGAGCTGCTGGTGTTACTGGTGCACAGCCCATCCTGTCTGGGGGAGGCAGAATAGCTCGTTTCGGGGTGTCCAGGGATGCAGTTCTTCCCTGCAGCCACCCCTGCTCCCGCAGAGACACCTCTGTCCAGTCTCCCAGAGAGGGACCAGAATTCATCCCTGCACACCCACCTCTGTCAGGTACAACCAGCACAGAACTCAGCACCCACCCACTGCCCTGGGACGGGACCGAGGCCCTCCGGAGGTGGAGGGGTGGCCGGGGAGGGGCTGTGGAGCCTCAGCACGGCTTTGGAGAGCAGCCGAAATGCCAAATCAAGCACCCCTCGCCGGCAGCACCCAACAGACCTGGTTTCGTCTCCTTTCTGTTCATTTCGTGCCCGTGCCCTCTCCCCGCCACCGCCTCCTCTCCCCTCTCAGAGCCCCTGTTCCTGGTTCGTTGTTTTGGTTTGTTTTTTTGTTATTTCTGTTAATATCTTGAACTGTAAATGTTGTTTAGTTCTGACCATTGCACACTGCTTTGGGCGATGTTTCTTTACAATGCATACTAATATATTATGGTTATTATATATGAATATATTTAATGACACGTGAAAAAGTTGTGGATTTTCTTATTGTTTTTCCAAGTTGTTTCGTTGGGGTATTTTTCCTTTTATTTTTGTTTTCCCTTTTTGGTTGGTTGTTTTATTAGATTGGCTGTAATTGAACCCGAAGGAGCTTGTAACTGTTCAGCACCCACTTGGTAGAACTAAAGTCAGAAACCAGTTGAATAAACTCTTGTAAACTGTAAAAGGCTCTGTTTCCTTCCACTGCACCAGCGCAAGGGACAGGGACTCGTGCAGGGAAGAGTCAGCATCCCCTTCCCCTTCCCAGCTCTCTGCCAACGTCCCCGTGGCAGGGCCCAGCGTGGTGCGCTGCTATTTCTGACCATCAGCCCCATCCGTGCGTCTCACCAGCATCCTCCATCGCTTCCCATCAGTGGCCACATGCCCTTGGGACAGCCGGGTCACTGCGGGCTCCCGGTGGGTGGCTGGGAAGGATCCCACTTGGGCTCTCTGGGAACTCTGGACCGGGTATGTCCCAGCATCGCACCGGGCTCCCCTTTCTTCCTCTGCCCGCCAGAGGAGACTGTGGGACAGAGCCAGGACAGGCCGAACCCTGCGGAACCCTGCACAGAGCAGGTGGACAGGTGTGGGGACAGGGGGCAACCAAAGCCTGAGCTCAGGGGAGCTGCCAACCCCAGCCCAGACCCATTTTCTGCTCCAGCTTGCCAGCGCTGTGCCTTTCTGCCCATCCGCTTCAGGGGTCCAGGCTCCATCCCCTCATCTCCAACAGGACATCAGAGGTGCCAGATGCTACTGAAGGACTAGGCAAGGGCTGGTCATACACACAAGCTAGAAAGCTGAAGGCGGAGGGGGGGGAACTGAGGCTGCAAAACACTTCCAATGAGAAAAATAGAGGCAAAAGGTCCTGCAAAGTGCTCTGGGGTCACCCCGCCTGACCCCCAGCCTCAGCAGCACCCGTAATTTATGAATCGGAAAACATCTTGGAGGTCAGAAATCTCAGATCTTTATTGCAGAGACAAATGGGTCACAAGTGCCACCACCTCTGCTCCGGGGCTGTCACCTGTGGCTCCTCACAGAAGCAAATGGGTTTCCCAGATTGCTCTGGCTCCGTGTCCTCCAGGTGGTTGTTTGACAAAGAAACGGTGACTCTGGAAAATGGGAAAAGAGCCTGTTCCCACTGAGGGCTGGACCCGAGCGTTTGCTCTCAGCCTCATCCCACTGGGCAGCGTGGGAGAGCTCAGCCAAGCTCAGCACCGAGCTCACACCCAACCTCCAGATACAAGGGCACTTGAAAATACCCAGCAGCCTTTCAAGATCATCTTTCCCCTCAAGTAGCAGAAAGGGACTTCTTTTCAAGGGCACTTGGACAGGGAAGTGCCTCTCACAGGTACCAGACCTTCCCACAGCACTTGTATTTCTGATGGAGTACCGACTGGAAGCAGCTAAAACCCTGAGCACATCCTCCGAGACAGCAATGAAGGAGCTGCAAGGGAAGGCCAAGCTGGGATGTCTCTGTGAGCACGTTCCAGGGGAAGGGAGGACTTTTGCTTGGAGAAGCCACCACAAGTGCATGACTCCAGCAGCCCCACGGCACAGACTGAATGGGCAGCTTGAGCACCCTTTGTTCCACGCCTGGAAGTGAGGGCAACCGGCAGCATGGTGACTCCATGCCAGGCACCGGTGAGCTGGGCTCACCAAGCCTGCTCGCCCTGAGCCAAAACCCCGCGGCTCTGGCGCTTTAACCTTCCTTTTTCTTTGGTGGGGCAGGAGACAGAAAAGCTTCCCCCAGCACAGCAGAACGCTGCCAAATCCACTGGTTTTTAATAAAACTCCTCACCCACACGACATATTAAATGTTACTAAAGGGCAAGTCTGAGGCCCCCGTGGTGAGACATTTCAGCAGAGCAAAGCCTCACGTTTCTACCTTTCCTCAGCACTAACAGGAAAAATGTGTTTGAGGACCCAACAGGTCAGGAAACATCGATTTAAAGCCTCTGCCAGAACAAAGTCACTGTGTCACGTTGATCAGGATGAATTATGCATCATCCTGCGTGTCCTGGGAATTCAAACAAAACCTTCATTCCCTCCATAAACGGCAGCTTTAATTAGAAACCCGACTCTGTAGCTTCATCTCAATAAACCACGTGTCATTCTCCTGCTGTCACCAGAGATCCAGGGGCTGCACTGGAGCCGTGAGCTAAATCCTGCTGCAGGGCTCGGGCACAGGAGTTTCCAGTGTTGGTCCTTCCACAGAACTGCAGGAATGCACAAGTTCTGAACACAGCTCCAAGGCTCCTGTTACCTGTTGCCAGCTGGAGTCGCCTTGCTTAAAGCTCTGTTTCTAATCTAACATCAAGCAATAAACAAGTCAATAACCTGTTGTGTCCTCTTGAAAGCCATGAGAACCTAAAACTCCCTGGTTTTCTCCCCTCTTCTCCTTTGAAGGCTGTAAGATGAAGCATCTCTCCAAGGAAAAGCAAGCAGGCATGACCTGGACTGGACTTTTAAAGGCTTGAAGGATTTTCTCCAGCAAAGCACATGAGATGCATGTCCCTCAAGATGTAATGCAGCACCAGGACACCCTGGTTTCCCACCTCCCAGATCAGTGCTACATGTGCCACCACTCCAGTTGTGCAGGTGGAAGGCAGTGAAAGGGAAATGAGTGCCAAGAGCCAGCTGAGAGCTGCAAAGCAGCACAGGTGAGGACCAGCCCAGGGCTGGCAAGTTTTATGGATCTGGAGGAAATGTATGTCATGATACACATGAAGTCTGACAGGAATTGCCTTTTTCCTTCTCCAAACCAGCTCTTAGGAAATGAAAGTGTTGGAGTAATCGTTCATGCACAACATGAGATGGTGGGAAACAATAAAGACCCAGGCAGATAAACTGTATAGAAACGGATCACCTTTTATTCAGTATTTATTGCTTGCCCTGTCAATTCTGAAATCAAACTGAGCAGTGTAACAAAATAATGATTTTCTTGGCCAGAAGCAAACCTTCAATCCTTCTTTTTTCATTAGTTTGTAAATAGGGTCTAACAGAGTGAAGTCATAAAGAGGCAGCCCTCGCTTGCTGAGGTTAGTACATTAATGCAGCACATCCTGTGTGCAGAGCATGGCAGAGCATGTGGAGAGCACGCTGTCCTCATGAGCACGTACAGGGCAAGGCTCTCCATTTGGACCCACCTGGCTGGAAACCTGCTGCTGTTCACATCTGTCCATGGAGATCAACAGCAAGAACTCTCCCCCAAGGGCTGACTCATTCACCAGAGTTTCTGCGTATCTTGTGGGGGTCTCGTGCCTCTCCGCGAGCCTTCCCATCCTGCGAGAATCCAGATGCAGCCAATCCCCAAAACACCTATTCCTTGAAAAATGTGGTTTCATCTCTAGGGAAAGTATGAGAAAGTGGAGGAGCTGCTGTACCCCCAACCCACCCCTGCATTTTAGTATCTTAAAGCCACTCAGCAGCAGCAGCCACAGCCACGGACCGGGCAGCAGCACCCTGACACCAGCGTGTGCTCAGCCGCAGATGCACCGAGAAGTGCAGCCCTTGTGGAGCCAGCTGCAGCCTCCCCAATGCCAAATGAAGGTGGGAAGAGAGCCCCTCCAAATCACGCAGCGCTCTTCAGCTGTGCACCAAGCGGATGTCTGCCGGACACAGCCTCGTTCCAATACCGTTGAGTTTATTTAAATCACAGGTCTTTGCACAAAGTTGGTCTCTTCTCCAGAGTCCTCCGCGCTCAGCTGCGGAGCAGCAGCTCCAGCGGGCCCCACACCCGCATTAGTGTGTTGGCCAGACAGCAACCACAGCAATGGCAATCAGCAGCAACACAATCACCACCAGCATTCCTGGAAAAGATGAAACGACGTCAAGGTTGCTGCCTTCATCTCGTACAATTGGTCTTCTGCAATTAAATTCTTCCTCTGAGCCCTGCTCCTCCTCCCAGCTGAGACTGATTTCCCCTCCTGCTCACCCCGTGCAAACCCCATCACAGATCCCTGCATGCTGCTGACCTGAGCAGGGCTGTGTGCTCAAACCCCACGTTGGCAGAGCAGTTCCTTCTCCTCCTGACCCTTCACATTGATTTTTTAGCAGTGCCTGCAGGGGATCTTCCTACTTAAACATCTGCCTTGCAATGACTAGGGGGTATGGCAAGGCCAGTTAAGCTGTTCTAGAATCCCTCTGTACCATCCCACTGGGGCAAAGGATTATTCAGAAGGAAATTCAAATTGTATCAGGAAATTGTTTCCAATACAAACTACTCCCGCTTTCACACAAAGCTGTTTGCAGAGCAAAAGCAGGGCTTTCAGGCATGTACCCGACCTGGGGAAATTAAGAACAACCAGCATTAAAGGCAGTGTAACAGTGCTCTGCACAGGCTCTGTGTGTTCCATCCTTACCCAGAACCACACCAGTTCCTGTGCAGAAGCTAATGACCAATATCATCTTAAAAACCTTCACAACTACCTTCTAGCTCAGGCACACCATGCTGCTCTGGAGGACGGTATTTAAGATGTAAGTTATGGATCATTTGGAAGAACTGATCCAGAAAACCAGCAAAGCAGATTTTTCTCTCTCTCAACTGAACAACAGTGATAAGGCAACCCAGGGGTCAGACACTGCTAGAAGAAACTAACTCTCCTCAGTTCCCCCTTCTTAGGGGGAACTCTCCCCTTTCTCTCCCCTTTCTTAGCATGGAGGAAGAACTGTTTCACTGAAAATGGACTGGATCTCTGCAGTCCACTCCATCACCTCCCCAGGCAGCCCCAACATGTAAACTCTTTGGCTGGACCACGGTAATCTTCCGGCACCGGCATCATGTTCACAGGCATCCCCTGGGGTTAAACCACCTTTTAATTAGGAGGCTTTTGTTTTCCTTTAGTATCTGCTCTGTGCTATTCCCCTGTCCGGGCTGCAGGAATATGTTAAGGCTCCAAGAGTGGAAAAAATGTCCCTTCATTTGGGCCGCTCACGATGACTGTTACTCAACCACTTACGATATTTACAAGTCCAGCTCATGGCAATTAAAAAAGGATGTATTAAAATAAACTCCTCTTTCCAAGCTGGAAAAGGATATTAGACCTGGCTTTTTGTAAATAGTGTCATGTTTTCTGTGCAGAAACTGCTTCTCTGCCAGGGCTCTGGGATTTTTTTCCAAGGAAATAAAAGTCACCACAAACAGTATTTTTTCCTTCTCTGTTCAGTTAAAACCATTTGTTATCTGAAGGGAGCTTGAGCAGCACTTCACCCCACTGGCTCCCGCAGGTCTCAGGTATTGAGCCGTTTCCTTCCAAAGAAGGCAGCAGCTCCATATGCTCCACTTGGGATGCCGAAGGACCGTGGCAGGATTTGGCACTGCAGGGACAAGCTCTTTTGCTAGGCAGAGACAAGTTCAATTGACTGGTTTATACTTAGTGCATCCTTTGGGGTAGGATGATACGGGGTAGTTTTGTTTAGAGGACACTAAACTTCAGGCTACTCCTGGTTATGAGTGCTCATTAATCACAATCAAGATGGAGTAAACCAGCAAAAATGCTCCTGTATGTTCCTGCTGTTCTCTGCACCCACAGCCAGGGCTTGGGGTTGGCCCCAGTGCCAGCAGCCCCAAGGGCCATGCTGCACAACAGACACTGGACAGCCAAGACCCCTGCCTGGGCACCCAGGAGCTGGGTTTGTCCCAGCAGCACTGCTCAGTGCCAGCTCCCTCGCAGCTGAAGTCCTTTGGGAAGAAGCCCAGGGGATGGTCCCATTGCTGGTCCCCTGCAGAGCCTCACTCCACATCCTCACCCCAGGTCACAGTCTATGGAGCATACTTGACCCAGCAGGATCTCAGACCACACGCTACTCGCTCCAACTCACCGGAATGGGTGAGAGAGGGGTGTCTGGTTTCCAATCTCAGCCAACCACTCAACATCACCCAGCAACACAAACTGTTAGATGAATACATCGGGAACATGATCTGTACTTTTCCCACCTTTCTAGTCTCACGCTTTTTATATCATACTATACATTTTGTAGTCCTCAGAAGAGCCAGAAACGAATAATTTGCTTTAATTAGGAAGAATTAATATCTGATAAAGCTGCTGCACTCAGATTCCCTGTTATGTTTTGCACTGGAGGGAAAAGGTTTAGAGGGTGCAAATCCTTAGCACAGTTTCAGTCTAACAGAGTTTATGGACTTCAGCAATTAAGAGACAACTGAGATCAGTTGCTTGGAAAATAGTTTATAAGTGTGAATTAGTAATGATACAAAGTGGAGTTAATGGGGCAACTTGACAACTCCCAAGAAAAACTGCACATAAACCCAGAACTATTGCCCAGCAGGAACAGGGGAAGGTGGGGAACAGTAAAGTATTGCTAATGGGCAACAGCAGAATGAACAGGAAACTTGACAGACCGTTCAGGGCAACAAGAGCAGGACAGCAACAGGAAATAAACTTCATTTTATTCCTGGAAAGAGACTGGTATTAAAAACCTGGAGCCACTTTTCAGTTTCCAAAAGCAGTGGTCAAGTGCTTCCTCCCCAAGTGAGGGACAGAGAAGCAGCAATGGCACATGTCAGTGCAGTATAAATCAGTGTTAAAGGCTTATCTGATCCATGTGATGTGCACAAAAAGAATAGGATCATATAAATTGGCAATAGCACATGAATTTCAAAGTACCTCTTGCATGATAGAGACCAGATGTTACGCACATTTTTCCACCCCCCATACTACAGAATAGCAGATTAGAAGGATCTGAAGCTTTTAAACCTGAGTGTTTCACAGAGCACAACAAGTTTTCCTAACAAAAGCTGGAGATAGGATCTGACAGGAATTATGCATTTAGGTTCCCTGCTTGCTTTGCCTTTTTCTGTTCAAGTCCTATGAAATATAAATATCCCCCTCGATGAGAACTCCTCAAAGAGAAGTTGAGGAATCAAAGCCACCAACAATGTAAACAGGGGTAAGGGAAGAAAAAAAACAAAAGATTCCCGTGCCAAAGAAAACAAATTTGAAATGCATTTCTCAGGGAAAGGTGGGAAGTGAGAAATGAATTCTCTGTGCAATTACAGAACAATTAATTAAGGCAGGTTGGAGGAAGCGCAATACCCTTGAAGCTCCATCTGCTAAAGGGTCTGTGAGGGTGCTGCTGTTCCAGCTCAGAGGAGCAGCACACAAATGCAGAGGGCACGTTCTTGGCTTACTCCGAGTTCCAGGCTCCTGGGAGCACCAGCACTCACGCTGCTTTGCCAGGTTTTAACCCTGACATCAGCTGCAGCTCTGCTCATCACCCTGATCCCGACCCCCACTCCCTGGGCAGCACAGGGGTTCTCATTCCAAACTAAGCAAAGCCTTCTCCAAAAGATAGTTCAGATCAGATTTTCAGAGATAAGAGGGAAAGGTTACAACAGAAGTAATTTAGTTCTCGGTTAAGATTGCTTTTCAGTCTGTCTCACCTGTCTGTCCAGCCATGAGACCAGAGGATCTGGGGTTCACATCAAACCTCATCTCCCTGGGGCAGCCCAAGTCCCAAGTCTATTCCCTCTCCGTGGGATTTATCAGCTTTAAGGATCCCTGGCTTGGGGTTCATCACAGACATCCCTCCTGCTGTACCTGACCTACTCCTACATGAACAACTTCCCAGCTGGGGCTCACTTAGAAATGGAAATTATTCCTTGAGATCTGAATCTGCCTAAAGGGGTTTGGGCATGTTAGAAGATGATTCTCCACCCCAGTTTGCACCTGAATGTCCAAGGGGTTAATGATCTGTGTAAATACAGGTGATGGTTGAGGACTCTTAGTCCCTTGCGCCTGTTCTGCCAGTTAGTAACTATGGCTGCCCTGTCGAGACCATGTAACTCAAGGGTTTACGTTCTTATTAGAAATAAGACTTCACTTAAAGCCCACACTCTCTGATGCACTGCCAGGTGTCCTCAGCGATGAAAAATACCAGTCACACAGATGACAAGCCCAGTAAATCATTTCATTTTCCCCTTTTCATCCCAACCTTTGCTGTTTACCCATCGCAGAGACCCCAGATGTGACTTGGAGCAGCACCACACTGAGCACTATGCAAACCCACACCACATCCCTGCCCTCGAGAGCATCCCTCTCTTCTCAGGTATCCCTGTCCTCTCAGGCATCCCTCTCCTCTCAGTACAGAGCCCACACTATAGGCACTGGGTGCATGTTCCAGCCCACACGGTGCTGCTGAAACCCTGGGTGTGCTGCAGATCTGAGGGAGGGCAGAGAATCATGAACATTTCTGGCCTGTAACTCCACTGATGCACAGGATGCCACGCACTAAATAAGCCTCTTTGCCTCAAATAACTGTTATGAATCCCAAAGAACATGATGAATTGGTTTCCTCAGAGAAAAGCGGATACCTACCGCCAGCCAGCAGCTGGCTTTTGTGCTTGAGATTAATCACTGAGACTTTCCAATTCCTTGTGCTGACTGTTCAGATGGAGGCAGCTGAGGCTCAATGAGCCGCAGTTTCCTTTAGAGCATTTTGAATTCCTCATGCCCACGAGGCTGGAGCCCGTTGGGGCAGGAATTCCCACTCAAGAGCACTGCTGCCGAAGGGGACAAGCCCGCACAGCACCCAGACAAAGCGGCCAATTGTTGCTTGTCAACTGGTGCTTCTGCCAGCTTTCTGACACGGCAATATTTACTGTGAAATATCCACTTATTGTGCTGAATATAACTCCTGGGAATCTGAGAATGTTTAGGATCTGGCAGGGGTTCAAGTGCCTTTGAACAGGCAGGCAGGAACTTGGTCATAAATACATCGTGTTTTGACAAGTCCCTCTTGAATAAGTGTCAAAAGATTTCTGGTCTGCTTCTATCAGACTATTGATTTACCA